GTATACTCTTGGAAGTCAAGCTTCCTCTGTGCAAGGTGCCGTGTGACCCGTCACACGTGTTCCACACACCTCTCCTTTACACTGTCACATTCATCCATACCAGTACTAAACATGCAAACTTTTTGTGTTTATCTGCATTGATACTTCTGAGCGTCAATTTAAGTTCAAGGGACAATGGTGTCAACAGTGTAACGTATAGTACACCACATTACGGTACATTCCACGTTTCTATCCGGCTGCAGACTTCGTAGTTGTCTTGACCATAGCTCGCACTTTCGCTAAATACCCTTTAATTCTAAATCTACACACTAAGATCGAAGTTTCGAACAATCGTGGCAAATACCACGATCAAGTTCCTTAACTAACAATATGTTTTAGAGGATTCCGAGTTGGTTACGATATCTAACTTGATTGGTATTGATAGTTTTAGCAACATGTATTTTTCACGTATTTCTGTCAGCAGGTCGTTATAATTTCAGGTGTATGTTTAAAAGCCATAATTAAATCAAGCGTGGAGCATTTTTAGCGTATATTTCACGCTGAATACTATAATAAACATTCTAGTGAACAGAGTATCTTACTTAGGAGCTCATTATAACAAGAATTTAAAACAATCAAATAAATGTATCATTGCTATTCAATAAAGACTAAAGTGTCTAATGTAGATACTCCAATTCCTCTACAATAATCGTTGAAGGAAACCATTTCCAATTAGAGGGGGTCAGGCAATGATTTTTTAACCGTCGCAATCAATGAATTCGCATAGGCTTTCAAGTCATCCTGATTGAGTTCGTCAGAAAACAGTACAATCTGCTTCATACTGAAAGCTTCCTACAAGATTTCCAACATCTTCTTGGCTTGAGGTTGAAAGTAAAAGGCCTCTTTAATCCATGCTTCAAAACCAGAAATGCTGTCGGAGGTGACTTCATCTGGCTTGATCCTATGACAGTTCGCGTTGTCTAATCCGTTTCAAATCCGACATAAGAGATCTGACGAATGCGCTAGCGGGATGATGATACGCTTCGTCAATTTGTTCAGTGGTGAAGCCATGCTTAATCAACTTGAGGTTTAAAAAGCTAAGTGCCTTTTCTCCTTCAGCTCCATCATCGAGAACCATTTCGTGGTACCAACTTCGCACGCTCGGATGGTTAAAAATGTCATTAAGGTTCTTCTTGCTCTTGACGATAAGCGTAAAAACTTCATCTTCTAAATTCTCACCAATCGATGGGGT